CTCGAGTGCAGCAAAGGCCTTTTTCACTCGTGTTACACATTATATTTTTCCTACAGTCACTATAAAGCATATAAATAAACACTATACAACACGTTTTAGGTTCAGCAGCAACACAAATGGTGCCCTAGAGAAAGTAGTACCCGCGGTCCGTATCACTCCGCTAATTTTCCTTGGCAAGAAATGTGCTCCGCGTTTTGAGAATATAGTTCCGTATGTTTTTGCAATTTGAAGTGGTTTCCGCGCCTAAAAAAATTCTTTAAAGGTATTTTTTTGTTTATTAAGTACGTAGAAATGTTTTAAAAACGTTTAAAAGAAAAGTCCAGAAAGTTCAGAAATACCGAAACTATAAACACGAAATGACAGGTTAAATCGTAGTTATAATAGTCAATCAGCTGCTCATAGTATTATTATCTTTAAGTGTTGCCAACCTATTTCCAAGCGTACACGGATTACGTGCATAATAGAACCACGCTGTTTTGTGTTGTTTTGTTGGAATCCTGTTGTGCGGCAAAGTATAAACCGTACGACAAAGTATAAACCGTACGGCAAAGTATAAATATACAGCAATTAGCAGCTTTCTGTACTATAAACAGTACAAGGAAGCCAACTTTGTCGGGTGACTGTAGGAAAATGTAATTATTGAGAAATTAATCATTATATGAAGGTTTAACGCCCAAAATTTGTTTTTGTTCGTACTTCATACGTATTATTGTTTTTAGATGCATGGGTTCAAATCCGAACCTTATCAAAACATTTTGTAATAGAATTTCTTTTCGTGTATGGTTTATTAAAGACATAAATGCTCCTACTTTACATGTTATTAATACTTTCTTAAATTAACTTGGTCCCGTCATTGAGACTGAGACCGCATTTTTGTGTAGGATTCCTTGTTCCTATATTGGACTACTCGTTTCAATGTGGATACATCATCAGGTCACAACTTGAAGGAATCACTAGGCAGAAACAGGTATTTTGATCTTTTTACAATATTTGTCAACAAAATTCAGAATAAACACAACATGACGTAATATCAGCTGTTTGTTTCAGGCATTCATTTTTAAGGACAGAATGATATATTGATCTTTAAGTTGTTAACCATCATCAGGAAAATATTGACATTCCCAAGACTAAATCCGAGACCTTCTGGTTACTAGATCCTACAATTACCTAGCTATTGTTTCCAATACTTCATGAAAAATTGAAAAAAATTACCAAAACTGAAAAATAATTAACTAAAATAATAAACCACCATGAAATTGAAAATAATTTTTTGTATTGTGATGGCTAAAATACTATAGCTCATTTGTACAGACCCACGGTTTGAATGTGATGAGCTTTGGGCCCAAGAGATTTCTGGAGAGCAAAATTATCGAGGTTCTACGTTACCTATCTGACAATCTTTCAGTTTTTTTTTTTTTATAAATTTTAATGTATCTGACCATTGAGTACAAATTTATAATTTTATTTGAGAATTAAGAAAAAAAAATATTATTTGAAGTTTTTTTTAGATTTTTCCTCAAATTAGAGAGGTTGGTGGTCTCTTTTAACCTTATTGTCTATTCACATAGGCCTCGGCTACGTTTAGAGCGTATCGAGCAAAACAAGGAGTTGTCGGTTCTGTACAAGAATAAACTATACTGATAAAATCAAAAGGTGAGCACTAGGACAAGAACCCAAACATTGTTGCCTTGAATGTCCATTGCACTTCCAACTAAGCCAGCTCACCAATTAAGTTAATTTGTTGATTATACTTCAATTGCTTTAAAAACTCAACAAATCACCTACTATTCAACTGAAATACCTGTCCCCTACCAGAAACACCAGAGTTTACTTGTAAAAATTACTGTTTTTATTTCTGAGTAGAAATTATGCAAGATTAATTTCTAATACTTACTTATTCATAACAACTACTAACTTACTTTTCTCTCCTTGATCTCACTCAAACCTATGCGGAGTTTTTTACCGTCATTCCAACTGAACACCATGATTGCCGGGCCACTTTACGAGGCACAAAATACTCGTAATTATCCCTAGTCAAGATTACTAGTGATGACAGGCCGTAGTTAGTGTGGGGACTGTAGGAGATAACAGTAGTGTCTGCTGGTGCATTCATTGACAGGTGATATATTTCTCTTTACTTAGGATTAGTTTTGAGTTATCAGCCTCATTGGAATTTCATGATATGAATCAAACCGTAGGAATGTTTAGTGAGCTGTTTTAAGTGTAATAAAGTTGAGGTCATCAATTTTTAATTAATTTTGCTGTTAAAGGAAATTGACAAGGAATTGATTGACTAAATGAGATGTATGGGGTGATTCCAATTTATTTTCTCTTTGCCTTAAATTTAAATTGAACATCCTAGTAGTCCATCAACACAGTAACACAGTGGGTGTCAATCAACTTGTGATGGCAACACATTAAGAATTGAAAAAATGTTCTAGTCAATCAGTCAATCAACACATCAGTAATTAATCAATACCCTCGATCAACAAATTGATTACGGATGAACTGCTCCATTTAATCAGTAAACCAACACCCTGGTATTCAATCAACACGTTTTTCACTGATGAACTGATTGATCCATACAATCAGTCAATCAACACATTGACCCCTGATGATCTGATCCATTCAATCAGTCAATCAACACCCTGGTATTCAATCAACACGTTTTTCACTGATGAACTGATTGATCCATTCAATCAGTCAATCAACACATTGACTGATGACCTGATCCATTCAATCAGTCAATCAACACATTGACTGATGACCTGATCCTTTCAATCAGTCAATCAACACCCTGGTATTCAATCAACACGTTTTTCACTGATGAACTGATCCATTCAATGAGCCAATCAACACCCTAGTATTAAATCAACACATTAATCACTGATGATCTGGTCCATTCAATCAGCCAATCAACACCCTGGTATTTAATCAACGCATTGATCACTGCTGAACTGATCCATTCAATTAGTCAATCAACCCTTGGTAATCAATCAACACGGTTATAACTTATGAACTTTTCCAGGTAAGAGCCATGAGCCATGAATATTGATCATATATTTTTAGATTAATTGGTTGTGTTTAAGATTAAACCCAAATTTTAAACTGTGATTACAAGCTTTATATATTTAGAGATTTGATTGGGAACGTGTATTGAATCCTTCATGAGTCATATGGAACATGTTTAATTTTGTAATTGTGAACACATTTGTTTAAAGCAATATCTTCAAAATCAAGTACATTTCAAAAATGTATTAATAATTATTACGAAATGAAGTTTCTAGTTACTATGGTTTCTACAGCTCATTGGCTCTAATATTAAAATTCTAGTAGATTAAATATTAATAATATACATATATTCAAATATGCCCCGTGACAGTACGAAGTCTTCAACAAACTCCGATCAAAAAGAGTCAAAAACCAAAAGCGAAACCAAAGTCGAGCGGAAAAGTAACTTCACGAATGTAAAAAACATAGTTCTCAAACACCTATCCAAGTACAAGAGTGAGCTGAAAGACGAGGTGATTGAATTCAAACCTATTGAGTTAGGTACGAAGAATTCAATTCCGATTGCTGCTTTGGAACTGAAGAAGAAGAAGCAGGAAGGTAAAGACTCGCCGGAACTTCACAAGCAGAGGGAACAAGTTGTTGAGATGGTGGAGCAATTGGTGAACGGGATAAAACACGAAGGAGAGAAAGTGGTTGTGGTGAACGTGAACACGCCTGCCGTGGACCTTGACAAGTCCTTCAGTCAGGATCAGTTGAGCTACATGAAAAAGGACATCTTCAGCAGCATAGAGCAACAGCTGGGAGTCAAGTTCCAACCTGAGGTGGGAGATCAGTGGGAAGAAGCCTTCACTGCTATGATCAGCATTGTAGATGCTCACAAGAGAAAGTCTAGCTAATTTTGTCAAGTTGGCTAAGTTTATTGTTTAGCAGCAATACAAACGAAGATTTGATGAGATTTTTTTGTTCTAGTGACTGACATGTGCCTGTGATTAGCTTACGGTTGTTTTACCAGAGGAAACCACAATTTTATTTTTGTGTTGGTAATACAAAATATTTGTTAGTCGTCTAATTAAAGCCCTCTGATCAGAGGCATCACGTGACCCATAATTTTGAGGCGGTATATACTGTACCATCCTACTCGGTGGGGTATAAAACACACTTGGTATAAATAGCCTCTGAGTTGGGTAATCACTTTAGAAAGTAGAATAAATATATTTTTAATCGGATTTTTATTGTCAGTGGACTACAAAAATTACCGCTTTTCTCATGATGGGGGGCACATGCTTGACGACTAAAAACTGGAAAATCAATCAACTGTATTGAGTATTGTTACACTCTGTCCGATTTCTATACTATTAAAAATGTAGTTTTTATTTCCAATATCTGTTAAAATATTGGTTTTATAAGGCAAGTTAGTCTCCGCTACCAACACCAAACACAGGTAGAATGTGTATAGACAATGGTTTAAAACAATGCCCTACAACAACTACCAAATAGCACCAAATTACTAACTACTATAGCATCTAATTAGCATTTACAAGATACAAATTCATAATAACATCATTGCATGTTATCAATAGACTTGGTAGCTGAGTGGTCACAAGGTTTGCCTTCAAATTTGGAGGTTTTTAATTTCATTCCAAGCGAGTTTCATTCTGGAGATAACATTAATTTTTTCATTGGGCTGTGAATTAGTGTCGGTATATAGCAAAAGGTAAGTGATGTCGGTATTAGATGGTAATAAACCAGGCTTTGTAACGTTCCCTTACAAAAGTGCAAAACGTCCAACTGTGTTAACATACTAAAACTTAAAAATATAAAAACTGTGTCTTACAAAGTAAGTTATAGTTTTGATACCCTAATTTCTATACAAATTCTATATAGGAAATATACGCTATCAAATATCAAATATAGGCTACTCTATCAAATACTCTATAGGACATAGGTAGAAAAAACTGTTTAAATTATAAATTATACAAATCCCTTACCAAGACATGGTCTTTGCTTCCTCCACTGCAGTGTTTATGTTGATGAGGATTGTGATGCATCTAACTGTAAAAGTTAACCCACAACACGTAAAACTACTCACAATCACTGAAACTAAACCACTCAATGTAAAAAAAAACTTATGCAAATTCACAGATTTAGAGATTTAGAAAATTTAGGTTTAAAACACACCATTTCTACTGAATGGTGATGGTAAAGCAATCAGATTTAGTTTCACGAACACAAACAGTCACAAGTCCAATCCACTTGAAGACATTTGATTGGTGCCAAATATCCTCGGCCAAAAATGTCATTCGGAGGTCAAGGTCAATATAACAGGTTTGTTTACAATTTGGAACTTGATCAAAAGACAGCGAATATCTAAGTTAAATCAAGAGGATTGCAATTAATTGTGATAATTGAAATTAGTTTGGTGCTCAAGTAAAAATAGATTAACAACAATTTTTATTTGTAATTTGTTATGCAGTAAAACTGATGCCCTTGAACAGTAATGGTTGATAATATTTCAGGTTTTGGAATAGTTTTTCTTTGGAGTGTGTACATACCTACGTCATTGGAATTTTTTACTTTTACAATGGGTTGCACCAAACCCTGGTATTGTTACTATCTAACAGCAATATTATTTGAAAGCCCAGTGACAAATGGAATTGAGTCCAGAATCGACCAGCCACCCTCATATTTGAAGGCAAGCACAAAAAATTTACTGTTTGGATACCCAGACAATTAAATGTTACAATTACTTATTTTAGCAATAAAAATTGCAAATTATTGTTAAATGCTTTGTCAAAATGTTTTATTTGAGTTTTGGTTTTAAATATCTTACTAGTGTACAAGTTGCTCGAATTCGAGCAATTACAAAGTATTACAGGAGTTATTTCAGATTGAATAACAGTCATATTTACAGTGAGTTTAATAGAGTCAACTCAAATATTACCGTTGTGTAACTCAGACCCTGTTTATCTTCGTTATTGATAAACCTAAAGCATTCCGGACGGTTCTCTCCTTCTCAATAAGCCTCGCTGTACAGGCAACACAGGTCATTAATAGAGGGCCAATTGGGAACGAAAAGTCGTTTTGGGGTAGTGTTAGGGCGCATTTGTAACCAAATAGTTGAAGTTGTCCAGGTTCAGGTTCAGACTGTGATGAGTTAAGCCTATTACGCGCCACTGTTCTGTAGCTGCGGTCGTTATCACGATTGCGCCTCCTGTCTATGTTTCGTTGTCGTTGCGTCGGAGACATTTAAAAGAAATAAACAACAAATAATAAACAAATTATAGCTACACAAAACAACGATAAATGCACAAATTTAAGTTACAATCATGCTAACACAATCCATCATAGCGACAAAAAACAACGATAAATACACAAATTTAAGATACAACCATACTAACACGATCCGTCTTGGGGGTTATGTTTACACAAACTCAAATAGTAAATAAATGTACTCAATGTGTTTCATTGATTTGAAAAGTAAACAACAGCAATAAAATTATACAGCTGATCAAAATGTAAACAATTATGTTCTTCATAAGGATAACATGGGAACTTTCAAAGCCACTGGGGCAGAGCCCAAGGGACTTTTTCAAAAATGTAAGGTCAGTTTGCAAATCTACGCGACACGCTCTTTCCAATGAGACGTCAATGGATAAAATTGGTTAAGAAATGGCGGAGGAGTTCAACCGACAAACTTTCGTGTAGCGTAATAATTATATAGATGTTTTGGGTTTTGATTAAAATTTAGTATATTATGACCATTTTAACTCAAAACCAAATGTAAAGTTATATAACACGACAAAATGTGAATTTCCCCATAAAATTCATAGTTACGCCCACCACTTACCCATAATAAGGGTTGTTGACAAGTTAATGGGAGAAAGTATGTGTCACGCCCTTATTACTACCTATATATATTCCAGTGACCAAATCTCATTACACAAAGTGCCATTACGATCAAGCAAGTTGACATGACCTTATTAACGTTTGGTTACGTAAATACTCATTTCCCATCATTGGTGTTGAAAATTAACTGCATTAGAGAATGCAGACTAGATCCAATATCAATTCAGGATCGTCCCGATATGATAATTTCATCCCACTCGCAACATTAGCACTGAAATGTGACAGCATCAAATCTTCGCAACGATGCAACGGCTTACGTTAAGCCAATAGAAGCAGCCTGGCTTTATTAGGCTCCATACAATTAAGTTGGATGTTTCCGCTGCACTGAATGCTATTTTCCGCACAATCAGTTTAATACTGGATTTAAAGCGTTCGGTCTATAAAGCCTTTTAACTGTCTTTACTGCGAGTGCATTTTGTTTTGTTTCTCTTGCTTGTCGATTTAAAAAAAAAAAATTTTTAATTACAAACATTTTAAGCTATGTTGGTGTTGTTGGAGTAATTAAGTTTCTGGGTCATCAACAATTTATTTATAATGTTGTACGGTCAATCTATTACAAATCATACAGACATAATTTATTATAAATTTAAATAAGTGTTGTAATTCTTATATCGTTATTATAATTTATTATACATTTCATTAAGATTGCTAGGGTACAATACACAAAGATTGGGTATTGGTACAATACGATGATAAAAGGTTAATGAAAAAATACAAAATGGAGGAAATAAAGTTATTAAGAAAGCTATTTTGGAAACAAATTTTTTCTCTTTATTTTGACACATAGATCCATTTACCCGTGTTTCGCTGTTTAATTACGAGACACCCTGTAAATTTCTTTCTTGCGACTTAGCAAATTGATCTGTACAAAAATTAAGATTTCAGTTTTTTTTATTATAAAATTTACTAAGGAAAAAATTTATTTATATGAAATTGTTTGAAAAAATATACTCGTTACGGGCAAAGCGTAGCGGGCTTTAGGTAGATCTAAATCGTAAAACTAAGCAATTCAAAAGCACGTAAAGTCTTGCAATAACTTCTCGCAAAACTGGGTTTATTTGCAGTTGAAATTTTGCAAGTCCGCTGTTTACGGTTTATGTCAGTTTGAGTTTATAATGCTTGTCTATCTCTATTTTTACATGTGATATCGACTTTAGATTTTGATGATCAAATTCTCTCGGGGACTTAGGACAGGTAATATCTTCTGTGTAATTTTCCTTCTATACTATTACATAATACCCCTGCCGCAGGAAAAATGCAGACTAAGCAAATTTCAACTTGTTTGATTACATTTGTACTAAAATATTTCCATAAATAAGACATTTTTATTCCCAATTTAAATAACATAGATTTAACGAGTGATTTGCTGCTACAGAGAAGGTATAGAAGATAAATAGTGTTGACCAAACGTCAATAGTATTGGATGAAATAAATAAATTTGCCAAATTTTATCAACACATATCCATAAACAAGTAAACTACAACAGTTTTCATTTACTCCATAAGAATAACGTGGAAATTTTAAATTTACACTTTTTGGAATTTTCTCTGTAACCAATAGGCATACAACACTGCTTCAATATACTAAATTATTTCTATTTTTAAGCTCTACAAAATGGTTGATATAGAAATTCCTATTTTTTTTGTTTTTAATGTCAAAAATGGAAAAAACTCATATTTACCCCATAAATCCCAGTTCCCATGGTCCGATCATGCTGGTTCGCGAAGTTGTTCGAATAAATGTAGGTTTACACATTTGCTTATACAAAATTTCATCAAAATCGGATCATTTTTGATTGTGTTATCGTGCAAACGGACACATATATATGAATTTTAATGGATGGTGTTTTTGGCCTCTGGGGACCTCAAAACAAAAAAGGAAATCAGTCCCGGGTCCAGGTCTTACCATGAGACCTACAGCAACAACTTATTCCCTACATGGGAAATTAGCTAAAAATGATGGTGTCAGTTTGTTTGTGCCTGTGTCAATGTGTGTGTTAATAACAAAAAACTACTTGACCAACTGGGCTTAAATTGTACAAAATAATAGTTAACTAAAGAACAGTTTAGGACTATACCTGCTTCAATACAAACAATGCTCTCGGCCCCATTGGCTTTCAAAGTTCTGAGGTGAGTTTTTCAAAAAGTAAATATTGATTGGTCTTGGCTGAAATGAACGAACTCACAATGTTTACATTTATTTGTTATTTCATTTTATTTCACAATCCCACACAGCTGAAACAAATTAAATATAGCATTTTGCACAACGATCCGGCTGGTGTATTTATTCTAAGACTGTGGACATTAATTAATTTAATAAGTGTAAGATGTTATAACCGTTGCTGTATCAACTTGACTCTATTCATTTATGTACATACAGACCAAATAAAAATTATTGATTGTGGTTCTGAAGTAAAGCATTTGTGAATTGATGGATATTTTGGGGAAAACATTAGGCTAAGATTAAGATTTACGTGATTGCATATTTCTGATAGTTTTTCATAGTTTATATATATTTTTAATCAAACATAGAAAAATGACTTTTTATTTCCAGTGTTTCTACAACCAATCACAGAAGTTTATGTATTTGAAATTCAAAGTGGTTGGTTCTCATCCATATTCAGGCAACAATTAAGATTCCAGTTATTTTCTTGTTCTCTGTTACTTCCAAAATCAAGAGGGAAATTATATCATGAATATTAACTAGTGAAACTAAAGGGTAAATCAGCCAACTGTGGAATTTCATTTTCAGCGAGTTTCCCAAATTAAATAATTTAAATAATAAGCTATTACCGTAATTCTCAGGGTAACCACTAGACCCCTTTGAAGAGCTAAAACAACAATTATTATACTCAAACGACGTAGTAGATCGAATGGTTATGGGAAAAATGTAAATGAAATTAAATGAAAAATGTCTATATTTAAGAGGCGAAGTTAGGACTAGCAAGTCCTCTCTACACTTAAACTCTATAAAACATAAATAAACTATCCACTTTATAAATAAAATTAAATAATCTAAGGTACCATATTATAAACATGTTGAAATTAAATTTAAACCCAAAAAGTCCATTCACACAAGCCGCCAACAACCCGCCACACCAGCGCCAGAGACTCTTTCATGCCTGCTGCTCAAAATCATAGATTTTATCTCTGCCCCAAACCTTGCACGGTTCTCTATGGATTTTATATGGTCAGGAAGAAAATTCCACATTCAAATTGCAGATACTAAGAAAGATTTATTTTAAACTGTTGACCGGTGAATTGGTGTAGATAAAAGAAGAGAACCTCTACGAGTGGTAAATGTTATTCTTATCAAAAATAAAAAACTTTTTTGCTGGTTTAGGGATATATTTTGATCAAATTTGGCAAGTTTGTTTATTGAATACTACGCTACTAACTTTTCAATAAAAAAACACTTTATTACCTTCCCTTTAGCAGCAAACCTAATAAGGCATAAAACTTCGAATGTTATTTAAATAGAAAATATATTTGATAATTTTAAGCAAATATTAAAATAAAATCTAACAAACTAGGAAAGGAAATTCGCTTTGTCTGCAGGTTTGCTCTGACGGGGGAGTTGAAATAAGTTGTCTTGTAATGTAGGCCTATGTATTTTTCAATACTCCATACCAATCCTACCATCATTAACAATGGTATTTATCAAAATATTGTAACATACTTAAATGAAAATCGTTATCAACAACAGCTAACTAATTTACGAGTAGTAATTACTGAAGTAGACTGAATACATTGTGGAAAACAAATTAAAAAAGTTTTTGTGTTGCCTAAGTCAAATGAAGGGAACAAAATTGTGTTTGTAATTTCTGTTTCTGTTTTATAAACAAACTACAAAGTCTGACAATTCCCTTGCATATTTATGATTTTGTTGTCAAAATCTCATGAATATGCATATCTTTATAGGCCTAAGGCAAATACATTTTAATTTACTCTTGTTTGAAAAACTGATATTAGCTGAATAATCTTTTTTTTACTGTCATTAAAGCGTTACCTATCATACCTATCATAAGCGTTACCTGCGGTTGGTAGTTAGTTATTTTGTTAATAGATATTTTAACGCAATTAATATTTTTTCTGAAATTCAGTATAATTGAGTTTTGAGACATAACTTTATTTAAGCTCCAAAAATCCTATCTATAGGCTATTTTGAAATTTAAATAATGCGTTTGTGTGTGCCATTACAAGCCCAAAAACTGTAATGTACTTCACTCTAAGTCATAACCAAAGCAAACAACATAAAATTTGACAATAAGTATGACGATAAACTATAATTGTTTATGACCCACAGAAACTATGATAAAAGACAAATAAGTGTAATAAATACACCAAAACCATAGTTTTTGCATAACCTTACATGTGGTGGATTTTAAACTGAGCTAAAACATGTATATCCGCAGTAGAAATATAAATTTAATGATACGTCTACTAGACAATGCATGGACCATGTCGTAAAACTACATTTCACAAGTTCACCACTTCTAGTTCATAACATTTTACGGAGCTACATTCCAGGTTTATTTTAGGAGTCATAGGGTTACTTTATTAACAGCGTTTCAATGTTGTAGTGTTTGTTCACGGGAGAAGACGTGTCTTTGACAATGTTTTCAAAAACAAAATATATGTATTTTTACAACATTTTGTAATTCTTTTATGACGAGACTGATAGCATGTATTTGTTGAATGGTCAAATAAATTCTTGATTCTGTCTTAAGCACCATTTTTATAATGTCAGGTACGGTGACAAGCAATCATCCTAGATACAAATTCCATTTTAAAAATCGTCAAAATTCCTCCTTCCTTTAAATTGTAGAAACTAAACTTTTGTCCCACATGCTGGTGGACCGATAACTCAAGTACCTGGTTCTTCCGGCACAGACAGAATAACGGTACGTCCAGAGTGCACGCCGATTCAGATTCAGCTTTTCGGCGTGTGGTTAATCTGAGTCAGATATTTTGTTGGTGGTCACAGTGGAAACAGGAAATATGCCATCGGTACTGACTCGGTTAGCAAAGAAGAAAGTCAGTCGTTGTTATGGAATTGTCGGATGAAGAATTAACGTGTAAAATGATAATGTCTGAAACTGTAGTGAAGTTACAACCAGTGGAAAATGAAATCATGATATTACATATCTCTTTTCCCATAGCTAGAAATGATAGAGCTTATTGCTACATTGCGTCCAATGGAGGAGTCCGAAACCACCAAAACTTATTATTGTAATTGTAAGAAACTTGTGAAACCTACACTAACAAACCAATTTTCATGAAGAGCGTTTAGTGGTAACCCTAAAAAATGCCCTAAAAGTAAGGATAAAAAATTAAATATTTTACGATAAAAACTAATTTATTTAATTAAATAGTAAGCGTACGAACAAAATCGGAATCGGAATCTAAAACCAGAATGAAGAATTAATTCCGGTAAGCAGGTGCCTGCGCACGGGCTTGGAAACCGGCAGCCACTACGGCCACTTCCATTTGAATGCAAGTGCCATTCCTGCCGCCGAAAATCTGAATCTAAATCGGTGTGCACTCTGGACGTACCGTAAGAGGCAAAGTAGTATAATGACAGACAAGCCATTCATATCAACCTATAAGATGCACTAATATTTCTTTTAGTACTTTAAAATAACTAAAACAATCCTAACTTCCACCGAAGCTGTGACAGTGTTTCATCTTAAACAGTCACGAGTAACGATTCAGACGTATTCTTCCACCAATCCGACTAGAGATTTTTTTAAGGACTTAACTCAACTGCATCGTTCTTTGAAAACTCTAAAACCCCTAACACTCCCTCTTCAAAATTCAATATCAAATATTTTATGGCAATTACACTACTAAAGGTTGCAAATTAAATCTATCAAATTTGATTTAAGTTCTGTATATATATTTCATAGAAACAACAAACTATAAATAACAATTCGTCCAAAAAAGTCTGTACTACTTGTAAATACTATTCTCACTCTTTTTGCAGTTACTGGTTCTAAAGGGAACTCTTGAATTGTATTTACATCTTCCGGATAAAACTTGACAACACACTCTTCGCCGTCAGATTTCTGGATTTCTATTTGACAATCTTTGCCACAAAACCCACCTTGGAACTGTATAACTAACTTGTTCAACAGGAATTCATCTTTAAACATGACAGCGATCCATTGTGGTGATCCCTGAAACAAAATGAATCAAAATAATGACAAATTTCAGATGGTTATTGTTAGATAGGAATTTGTACCATTCCTGAAATATTTTCAGCCACGGAATGATAAGGTTGTTAGGGAAAGGACATAGTAATGTACTATCAAGGAAAAGGATTTCAACTGTCATCTTTTGGCTCTATAACTAGTGTTTTTGTGGCAGTTGTACATTCTTTTATATCATACGGCAGGCGTCTCTAATCTACGAACCGCGGGCCAGATTTTATCCAGCCCGCAAAGGCCTGCTGGGAAGTAATTATTTTTATATAGGTAATTGGTATAAATCGATGATCGTCAAGTTGCGGCACACGTAAGAAATTTTTTCGGTCTCGGTGATATCATGATCGTCGTATAAATGTTGCGGTCTGTGTGATAACGCAATCACGGCAACACTCGCGAGCATATTTTGCGGTCTCGGCTATACCATGATTGTCACTCATAGTTGTGGCAATACCCCGAAGTAAATATTGCGGCCTCGGTGATAACGTGATCATTATTCACATTTGCGGCAACACTCCCGAGCATATTTTGCAATCTCGGCAATACCACTATCGTCTCCTGCGATCGAGACTGCACTATGAACATATCTCTTGCGGTTTCAGTAAAATGTCTATGATGCTCTCCAGTGATCCTGATTTACTTATGATGGGAAAAGATAACCAATGGAATACCGTCAATGAATTGAAGCTCATTGGCTATTGGTGATCATTGTAGTCCTTGGTCCCTACAGAGTTCAAGTACAATTCTCCCAGGTTGGCTAGTTACCCAGATACACTGTTTAGTTATGTATAGTACACCTCTCTCACACTTTCCAGTTTTTTCCAATAACAGAAAATTAGCTGTAAACATGTGCCTAATGATTAAGCTATCATAATACAGATCTTCCACGCTGTGTGATCGCTTTGAATTGAAAACAATTGTAAGGATCAGGACAACAAACTTTAACCCTGATTTGGCTGACATTAAAGTAGCAAAGTATAATAATATTCAAACTTCATCGCTGAGCTCTTGAACTACCTCTTTGTGGGTTAGCTTAGAGGGCTACCTTTCTAAACTGAAATTTTGATGGTCCGGGCCCGCCTTTCCTCCAAAAATTGTCAATGTGGCCCTTGAGCAAGTTGGGGACCCATGTCATACAAAATTAGTGTGTATGGAAGGATCTCAAAAACAAATCTTGATAGAATACTTCTGTTAGGTCTACAAAAGAAAATTTTTAGATCAATGATAAATTTAAATTGGAATTAAAGTGTAAAGTATCTTTTTTCTAATTTGGAAATCCTCACCTTTTTTGGAATTCATATTTATAAGACCAATAAAATATACTAAGCAGCATCATTTGCAAAAAAAAAAAAAACTAACAAAAAACTGTTAAATTAACCATTTTTGTTACCTACTGAGATTCTAAACATGATATTAAGGATGCTATAGCTTACAATAAGCTATTGACTACCAGTAAAAGCCCCCATATTCCACAGAAATCAGTAATTTACATCAGCGCGATGTGTCGGTGGCTCACTCTACCTACGTCTATTTTGACTTTAATACTGGTGACAGTTTTGACATAAGGTGAAATGTCTAATTCCATCAATAGTCAAAGGTTAAACAGACCTTTGAAGTCAACTAACAACTGGTTAATAGAGTCCACTAACCTCTTGACACGTTCAGTGCGGGTTACAAAAATTGATGTAGAGCGTCTCGAGCGCTCCTATCGGCCTACATCAATTGATGTAGTCGCACTACTTCCACTACATTAGTTCAGTATGAGCTCAGCCATTGCCGGGGAACGTTATAATCGTTGCCAGCCTGTAGCTTAGAATGTGAGCATTATTCTGGTGTAGGTTGGTACTAAAATGTCCTGTAAAAAACCCGTCTGGCAATGATTTTGTCGCGGCTTTGGGGATTTTTTCTCTTCAAGAAACATTACAAAGACACTGGCTACGGATTCAGGCAGTGCTGCTATCTTTGGGTGTTTCAGTGAACTACATCCACTCTCAGGGTAATGCAACACAATCACCGCTACTCTTTTGTTATTCGCCTGACTGAAATATTTTAATGCCAGTTGCGTTCGCTGAGTCGGTTGCGCGCCGGGGCTTTGCCTGGGCCTCGCCGCCATTGGCGAGTGCCTATTTGAAGGTATACTACACTGAAAGTGTTAATACGTTCGCTGCATCCCACCAATGGCAGGCGTAGCCCTAGTGCGACGCAGCATCAAGCATTCCCGTTTGGCTTTCAAATATTTTGGTCTGACGAATAGCAAATGATGTGCAGTGATGTTCTGCGTTACGATGAGAGTCGACAAACACTCACACACACTTAGCCGGTCCCATTGTATTTCCAATTGAAGGGAGAAAGACGGGACAACAAGTTGATTTCTAAGCTTGCCAGAAGGGGATTTTATAGGGAAATTTACTACAAACCTCAATAAAGCACCCATTCTTAGCTTAATGCAGACATAAAGATACCCATTCTTACCAGAGTGCTGCTGCCCATAAATTGAAAGGAATGTAGGCGATGGTGGCAGAAACGAACTAGAGAACATACCCGATGAGTGGCCCGCAGTGAAGGTGTTAAAAAAGTCCCTTATTAGTCTCAAATCAGGTAAACTAAACTACAGTGTTGTGTGTGAGAAAAAACTAGAACCTACCTGATCAGAACTCCAGCAAGTTTCCTCATTTCCATCAAACAAATACTTTTTCCCATACATTTTGGCATCCTTATTTAGCACTGAGCTCACTCTGAAAAAATAGTGACCTGTGATTAAAATTGAAACAATATCTTACATTTTGCATAGTAGCTGTTGTTTTATAAAAAATATCAATATTATAGCCTGTAAAGTCATTCTTTTTCTTACTTTTTCCAAAATCCTGAACTTCATGTCTTTTAAGGCCTTTGAGGCAGAGTAATGAAATAAACAAGAATGAAGAATAAGTTGAAGAATAAGGCATAAAGATGTTGTATTTAGAAGTAGATTGCTAGAGTTTTGACTGTAGGGTACCGATGTTTTATTTTTACATGATAGGTACTGTAGGCTATTTTGAAATTAATTGTTTTGTTAAAAACTGGCCCCAAATAAAGATGGTTAGGCCTAGTACTTGTTTTACGTGTCAAAATACCTAAGTTCAATGGCTCTGCCCCAGTGGTGTAGGTATAAATTGCCATGTTAAAAAGCCTACTAATCTTAAACAAGGACAATTGTATCCAATACTAACTTAGAAGAGTTTGATTTAAGTTAGCTTAACGCGATCACCACTTATGCCAACTTTAGTCAGCAACGCCAGTACTGCTGTGTGGCACGTGCAGACAATAAGCGCATTCAAATTTACTTAAATTTTCTGGGTCACTGTAAGCTTCAAAGCCATTGACAAGGGTAGTTGTTGAGCGCTACCAGTACCTTTATCTTTTTCATGTTTGTACTGTCGTATGAGTTTTGAAAGTTATAGGTTTAGTTTAGGAGGTAGATACCATAGGGGCTTAGTCGTAGGAGACCGCACACACTTATTATTCAGCATTCAGCGTGTTAAATAGTTGGACACACTAAACAATTAGCAGCATTTTTCTCCGTAAAATCAACTGGAGTTTGTTAAATTCGCTGAGCAAACTTGCAGTGAAGCTTTTTTTCTTGATCATTACCGTATCTTAATAGGCTAATGAAGAGTTTCTCTAGTAGGCTCTCTACAAAGCTACTATAGGCCTACTATTACTGTAAGCCTTGGAAGCATTAACTTAATATGCCGAACTATTTCTATTGAACTTGGTATTTGTGTGTACTATAATGGTATTTGTATGGTATTTTTGATTTGAATATCCTTGATGATTGAGAAACTGGTTCTTACCTGGAATCACTAATTAACGTCTTCATATCCACCTGAGGTGAAGATTGATATTTTAAAAATTAAAATATCCAGCGGAAGTATTGCAAAAATTATGACAGTTGATGATAGATAATAACTTATCGGTGATACATTAACTATTCATTCAAGCATTTAGCCAATTTAGCCTTTTTTCAGATGACTTGATTTTTGGAGGTTATGTTGTTGTTGTGTTTTATGTTTTTCTGCTTTTTTTTACCTCTGGTGAATTATTTCCTCTCGTATAAATGTACCATGCAGCTGCGAGAAAAAGGCAAGAAATGAATCATTGATTTTATCATCAACAGTTGGTTTAATTATACAATAGAGTATACTTTTATTTGAGAGCTAATTTTTTACATTTACTGTAATTTCAATATTAAACTAGATGTCGGAAGCTATACAAAGCACCGAAAATAACTTGGACGTTTAAATATTTGTTTTAAAAAGAAATCGATAGTAGCTTTAGAAGTACAATAGATTAAATTGAATAAAACATTGAAGCTACTTCAAGTCTGGAACCATCGATTATACCACAGACTAACAACGCAAATCTATGATTAACCATAGACTATATCCATAGATAAAACCAAGTCCCTTATAACCAACAACCAACAAATCTGAATTAACATATGGTACTCAGATTTGTTATCCATGGACCAGCCCAAGACAATTATTTTGTAAGGTCTTCCGGTGCCGCTGGGATGGTGTTAGTTTCTGTTATTTAAACCAAACCCTCGTTTATTCAAATGAAACGATCTAATCATAAAAAATTACTCGTTCACTACAAAGTATAGTATTATAACATTTTAAATACTTTTTTGTGTATATAAAAAAACGATAAATCAACAAATCAACCCTAAAATAATATAAACGGGAACATCGTCCATAGGCTACTAGAGCTTGGAGCCATTGACATATATAATAAGCCCAGTGTCAAAAAAAACATGAACTACTATAGACATGAAAACATAGGCCTCAGATTTTACAACAACAGAGTGAAGTCAACTTAAGTTGTTTAGAGACCATAGATAAAACATACTCCCTTTTGATTAGACTATACTGGAACTTAAAATAATCTAAACACTTTATTATTACTATATAAAGTGTGTTAAAATTTGTTATGAAGATTTTGCAAATTTTTATGAGGATATTTCACTGTTGGATATGAACGTAGGCTGCTGTTGTTTTTATAGTTTATGAACTTCATTGAATGACACAAAATTTTGAAGGACAAAGTTTCCCAAGTAATAAGACAAAACTGAGATTATTTAATCTCCCCAGATCTAAGGTTCTGTACGGTCTTTTATTAACTCGATACTCAAGACCATTTTACTTCTTCGAAACAGATTTATCAGTTGTTGGGCTATATAAGTGATAACTATATAGGAGGTGCCAAAGTAAACTTGATTATATTATACTAAAGAGATGAGGTGGGTCCTCGCCTTCCACACCTCCTCACTTGTTAGGCTTTAAGACTGCTCAACCTCTTATCGTTGAGAGGAATTTTAAAGTCTTGCTTGCCCCTAGCCTCACATCTTCTACTCAATCTGGACCTAAAATATGCCAACGCAGCCCACTTCAACCCTCCATTATCTGACTTCATTGCCCACTAAGAACTCATCCATGCACATTTGACAGTGCCCAAATCTCCACACTACTCACTGGTAAACACCTAACTTCACCTCTTAAGTTTTGTGACACACTGAATAAAAATTAATTGTGAAGTTTTTTCAGCATTTGTCAAGTTCCTTTCCCATCCAATGCTGATGAGTATGTGCGTATGCTCTAATAAGCCTCAAAATGGGCACTTCTACACAGAGCTCCAACTATAAGGGAAATGAAATGTAACACTCAAGAGAATTAGAGATTTCTCAGCTGTTTTGCCTTTAGTTACACAATAAGTTACAATTATTTATAGTCTAGGCATATTAGGAAAGTTAGCAGAAAGTTTATAGGTATAGTCCTAATCATCACTTTTCTTTATGTTTTTTGGGTCGCTGAACACGAATATGAGGTTTGCTGACAGATATTTTGCCCGGAACATTGGTTATTTTGTGAAAAACCTTAAAATTTGGGCACTTTTTTTGGTTTTTCGGGCAAATCTCGGTAAGTATGGGTTTTTGAGAAAATCCTGCTTTGTAAAGTTAAAGATGACAAAATTTACTACAAGTTTCCTATATAATGTTTGTTTCTACGACGAACCGTTTCGCCACTAGAGCACACTAAAAAAGGCCAGAACTACAAAAAACTAAAAACATTGCTAAACCCATGTAGCACAGATGGTTGGGCCAACGTTGGCCAACTGTGGGACAGTTGGTCGATGGTTGGTTGGAGCTTCCACAACCAACCAACCGTTGTCCAACTGTATATCTCGTAGTTGGGCCAACCAATATTTACAACTGTGGACCAACATTGGTTCATTGTTAATGAAATACATTAATATGCATTGCTGGGTATCATACATCAAGCCAACCATTGTCCAACCGTTTTTCACTCCGTTGGACCAACAAAAGATACTTTTGTTGGACCAACAATGGTCCATAGTTGAGTTTACACGACTTTCATTCTCTGGGTCTAGCTTTCACAACATAATTATAATAAAATATCTGGTTTTACAATACCTTTATCAGTTCCAAAAGTTTCCAAAAGTTTTTGGAACTGTTAAAGGTATTGTAAAACCAGATATTTTATATATTACAGTTCCGGCGCTACAACAATGAATTTTAATAATTTTAATAATGCAAATATTTTTTAAATTAATATTCTTTAACTTATTTGCAACAATTTAAGGGGAAAGAGTAATTAATCATATAACAGGCAATTATAATAGCATTAACAATCTAACGGTAATTAATTAATCATTCAAATACCAGTATCCTCTCTATCTCAAAAAAAAAAAAAACTACTTATGATGCCTTAACAGATTAACAGAATCATATTATACTGTGTAGTATCAAAAATGTTTGAAGTATTGCGACCATTGCAACTGTCGGCTACTCTTTCACCACTTGAAAACTCTCTATATCAGCAATCACAGATAGCTCAGTGGTGAAGTAAGAGGCTCATAAGTCGAAGGACCCGGGTTCGAGACCCGTCTGGGCCAAAAAAATTTTGTTCTAGTTTTTTTTCAAAATTTGTTTTTATGAACTATTTAATCAATTTACTCAACTAATAATTATGCTTTTCGTACTAAATCTTTATTATTTTGTGTGAAATAAAACGGTTGGACAATGGTTGGCTGGAAAACAGTTTAAAGAGGTGACATTTCTACCGTTGGCCAACTGTGTGGCTCCACAATTTACCAACGTTGGCCCAACCATCTGTGCTACATGGGAATGCTGCCGTTTTACATTACGTTTCCATGGAAACAACCCATGTTACGATAATTTTAACTATTTATGCATGATAACAAACTGAAACACACTTAAAATACCCCCGAAGCAGCAAACCTGCAGACTAAGCGAATTTACATTTCCCTGATTGGATTTACACTAAAATGTCTCCTAGAAATATCACATTTATTCCCTATTTAAATAAATGTTTAACGAGATTTGCTGCAACAGGGAGGGTAAAAAGATTGTTTTTTTTTAAAAAAGGAAATGATTTAGTATGAAATGAATGCATTTTCCAAATTTGATCAAAATATGTTCATAAACATAAACAAGCAAACTACAAAAGTTTACTTAGTATCCATAAGAATAACATGGGCATTTTAAATTTACAGATTTTTGGAATTTTGTCCGTAACCATTAGGCGCATAACAACGCTTAAATATACTAAACTATTTGTTTGTTTAAGCTCTACAAAATGGTATGGAAAGAAATCGCTAAATTTTAAGTTTATATGGTCAAAAATAGGAAAAACCATTTTTACCCCATAAAACCCCCCATAAATCCCTGTTTCCATAGTCCGATCATGCTGGGCAAAACCAAAAATGAAAATAAACCCTAATCGTTTTACAAAGGTTTTACATTGGGTTTCCATGGAAACAACCCATGTTACGATAATTTGAACTATTTATTCATGATAATGAACTGAAACACACTTGATAAATCTATGCCAAGATGTATGACTGACTGCTGGAACATTTCCCGTTCCCACAAAACACCCATTTATTTTCTCAGCACAGAGATGTGTCTGGCCACAGGGTTGACTGCTATAGTGGTTGAGAAAAAAGGATGAAATACATTAAAAGAGTTGTAGATAACTTTTAACTTTGGTAAGGTCAAAATCAGACGAGCAGACCGTGTCTAGCCACTTGCCATAGTAAATAACGCGATGAAAGTAGAGAATTCTTACCCGTAAACCCCAACACATTGTTTCAACGTATCAGCATCGCTAAGAATTCTGATGAAGAACTAAAACACTTCTTGTCCTTCTGACAGAGAAAATTCCAAACTGTAAATTTAAAATGCCCATGTTATTCTTATGGAGACTAATAAACTGTTGTAGTTTGCTTGTTTATGAACATATTTTGATCAAATTTGGAAAATGCATTCATTTCATACTAAATTATTACATTTTACTAAAAACACCTTTTTACCCTCCCTGTTGCAGCAAACCTAAGTACAGAGGTTAAACCTAAGAAGCAGTTTAAGTATCCATTATGAAATAAAAGATTGTAAAATATTGAGTCATTGTGTTCGTTATGTCTATTGAACGCAAATCTATCTTCTATCTATATATTAATAGGCAAGCATGTTTCTTTAAAACCTTTTTTCTCAGCTCGTGTTCATCGTAGGGAAAATCTACGCATACCGTTAGAAAACTATTTTCCTGTAGGTGTGCAGAATCCTTTTATAAATTTAAATAGGCTCAAAGATAAGCACAAAAAATGAGTTAAAAAATTGAAAATATTAACATGGATCTTATGCGTTGCCATGCTGGTAACGAAATAACAACGAAATATAAACAGAAAACCAAAACAAATGGAAGAAACTTAAATCACATGTTTTATTTACAGTGTGGGGTGAAAATAAATAAGTGAATACATTACGTATTTTTGGTCGAGTTTCGACCACTGGACGACCTCTTGTACTTATTTAATACGCAAGCACGATTTTTGTGACAATTACTCCTCCGAAACTACTGAACCGATTGACATGTTTTTGGTGTCATTGGAAAGAGCGTAACGTGAAGTTGTGCAGGAAACCTTCTTTTTAAGGAAATAGTTAGAGAGTGAGGCCCTGGGGCCCTTTAAAGTTTTGTATTTCTCCATAAGGATAACAAGGGAGATCATTTTTATTTATAGAAACATATGTTTGTTACTTGAAAATAGTCAAAGTCTACTACATAATAATTGCTGTGTATTATGACTGTTAATGTATATTACATTTCAATCAAGGATTGTGTGCCTTAAACTTTACTCATAATGGATCTCAATACTTTATTTTCATGCTGGGAATAGTAAAATTTAGTTGAGAATAAGTTACCATATTTAGAAAACTTTACTATAATAATTGATGTATTTAAAATCACAAATCTTTGACATTATTAATTCATTAGAAACGAAACAGCTGATCGAGAAATCAAACAAATCATCTACTTCATGCGAATAATGTTTTTACACAAACATAGTTTTTTTTAACCAATAACTTGATTATTTTTTACTGTACTTCTTTGCAATTGCTCGATTTCGAGCAACATGTACACTAGTGTTGTTTTATTAATTCCTTGGTCTTCTAATAATTTTAAAAGGTCATCTTGAGCTCTATCACTAACTAAAAACTTTTCTAAGGACTTGATTCTTCCGCTGTCCACCCAGTAATCCAACATTCGGCCTTGATTTGATGCAAAGCCCATAATGTCCAACGGGTTATACATCTTTTTACCTCCATATGTAAATTTGGAAAATGCATTCATTTCATACTAAATCATTTCCTTTTTAAAAAAAAAACATCTTTTTACCCTCCCTGTTGCAGCAAATCTCGTTAAACTTTTATTTAAATAGTGAATAAATGTGATATTTCTAAGGAGACATTTTAGTGTAAATCCAATCAGGGAAATGGAAATTCGCTTAGTCTGCAGGTTTGCTGCTTCGGGGGTATTTTTAAGTGTGTTTCATTTTGTTATCAAGAATAAATAGTTAAAATTATCGTAATATGGGTTGTTTCCATGGAAACGTAATGTAAAACGGCAGCATTTAGCAATGTTTTTAATTTTTTGTAGTTCTGGCCTTTTTTAGTGTGCTCTAGTGGCGAAACGGTTCGTCGTAGAAACAAACATTATATAGGAAACTTTTAGTAAATTTTGTCATCTTTAACTTTACAAAGCAGGATTTTCTCAAAAACCCATACTTACCGAGATTTGCCCGAAAAACCAAAAAAAGTGCCCAAATTTTAAGGTTTTTCACAAAATAACCAATGTTCCGGGCAAAATATCTGTCAGCAAACCTCATATTCGTGTTCAGCGACCCAAAAAACATAAAGAAAAGTGATGATTAGGACTGTACCTAAACTTTCCGCTAACTGCCACTTATATTCCTAATATGCCTAGCCTATTATGTGATAAAGTGGGATAATTAAGTTCTTCTCTACACAAACACAAGGAATGACTATGACCTTTGACATTCCATCCGCTTGTTCAATTTGAGGCTAGTTTTTTTTAACCAAAATCGTCGTAGTTGATGTGAGCCACCACAGATATTGTGCTGATCTAAATTACTGAATTCTGTTGAATAGACAATCTTTTTTACCAATTCAAACTAATGGAATGACTTAATTAAGGTTTAAAATAGAGTTTTTTAGTCACTAGCGCATTCTATGACTGTGGATCACACAACTACATTCTTTTTTAACAAAAAATAGTCAATGCTATGACTTTGCTTTTCACAGTGATTTGTGTATGGGGGTAGTACAAAAAAGTTTTGAATAAATAGAAAGTAAGACAATTTTATTATTGTGTTATTTGTTAATATGTTTAACATAAAAGTCAAAAACAAATTTAATTTGACTATTTATGGGTTGTTTCCAAAGTTATCTTAGTATAATATTTTTGGTTATTTCAGTGTCCAGAACTTGAATTATATTAGATGTAATTAGTTGCCTTTGTTGTTGTTGCCTGGGTTCTTGTAGGTAAGATGTTTTGTGTCACCCTGCATTTCGCCACCTTGTTTGGCATCTTCAGGGGGTCTTCTCGTGACTACCACTATTTTAGTCTGGAGACATGTCGTCTTAGGGTCAGTCAGACGTTAGGAAGTCTTTCTTCCATATGCTGTAAGAAGATGGATTCACAAGACCTCTGAAGATGCCACACATGGTGACAAATGCATAGGGGGACACAAACTTATTTAACTTATTTGACTGAGGCAAGAACAAGGTTACTGTAAATGTGATGACAATAACCATAAATCAATTAGTTTTTAGCTCCTTTTATATGGAAGAATTTGGTATTATTCATCGAATTCAAAGAATGAATAAACTAAATATGATATACATTTTAGAACCTCAATAACAATAATTAAAACTCTCATGGGTATTATTAAATGAAACTTTTATTGAAGTAAAATCAATTTTAGTAAATTTTAAAAATCACACAAGTTTTAAGGATGGCCTCTTATGTTATGAAAGTTCCACTGAATATCTATGACTAATTTAACTCGAATAAATATAATTAATATGTACAAACGTTTATCACAAAGATTACCCTAAGGCTGTGGTTTCCTAGACGCGTAATAGATGCGCTGCGTGTGCGCATCTAAGACGCAGCACACTTGTCTTATGGAGTTTCATGTAAGCGGTTTCCTAGGCTGCGTATCTAATGCGCGCGCATCTAATACGCGCGCACCAATAGCTGCGTATTTGACCGACTGCTCTCAGAGCAGTCGAATCTGAGTTACGCTGCGTTTTAGACATGTCTTGTGCAATGGATTTGGAAGTAAATGTTGTACATAAGGCAAAATTCTCCAACAGCGACGAAAAATTGATTGAATTTGTCTCTTCTAATGACATATTATGGAAATACTTTTCATACAATTAAAATTTTATAGTATTATATTTCATATCATTCGTTATGTAGTGTTAATTTTCCCATAATGTGTGATTTTAATATTTAATCCCCTTGTTACATGTTCTCTACAATTAATTTGTCCTCACATATTTTCTTATTGTTGTTACTGTATTAATAAATAAACCTAAATATTCTTTTCAAGTCAGCACAACCAACTCCCAAATATAAGTGTCCCCATAATTATTTTAAGAACTCCCGAACATCTTAGTAATAACTCTATATTAATTACTAGCATAGTACCCAAACTTCTTACAGGGTTGGCGTATAAGTACAAAATGATAATTGCAGTTATACTTGTAAAAGGTATTTTCATCGATTCGGTAAATCCCGAATAGGTAAATATAATAACAGTAAAAGCAAAGTTTGACAGGGTAAATGAAGAATTATTGTTTTCATTTTAAATTGACATGTTTGCTTTAACACTACAGTTAAAAGATGCGTGAAGGCCACGTATAGTTCCTAACATGTACTTTCCACTGCTTACGCTTCTTCAAAGCTTTTAATGCCAAAATATTCATTTCATTATCTAAATCATCGTATAACATCATAGTAGCCACTAGTAATCTCTCCCGTGAACTTATATTACGCACCAACCGTATGTATTGTACGCAGTCTAGGAAACCACTCACGGCAGCTGCGTTTTTGGACCTGGATAAAAGACGCTGCGCATCTAAACTGCTGCGCATCTACTACGCGTCTAGGAAACCACAGCCTGAAATCACAATATACAGTGGATGCTATTCAATAATGCACATAAATTCCCATAGCTCGTATAAAATCAGTTTTCTGGCTCCTGTTTAAAGACTTTACACGATATTTCCAACTGAGCTTTATAAAATGCAATAGCGATAGTCACAACCTGGTCTACGTACTTGTATTTCACAATCTCGGGTCCGTAAAGATTGCTGTCTATCCTCTCCAGCGTGTACTGCGCTAGTCCCAGGAGTTGACGGAACATTTCCATCTTAGGGTTGGGCTCTCCGAGCACTGCGTACTCCAACACAAACGCAGTGTGACCCTGGTACTCACTTCTCGGAATAATCAAATGGAACAAATTGTTAAACTTATAATCTTTGTTTGAAAAGATGAAATTATGGTTTAGTAAGCGGCTAAGAACATTTCCCATTATCGTGTGATATTCTTCCTCATTCCGTAAGGTAGAGTTCTTGAAACTGTCAAACACACTGTCCAGATTTTCTTTAAGAAGTTTTAACTGGCTGGTTATCAAACAGCCGACAAAATCGTATAAGTCGTTGATCCAAATATCGTATTTCTCGCAGACCCAATGTGTTTTAAAGTCTACCAAGTAGTTTCTGATTGCCTGATTTGGTATTTTTAAAACATAATGGTTCATATTGTTATTGAAGCAGTTTAAGTATCCATTATGAAATAAAAGATTGTAAAATATTGAGTCATAGTGTTCGTTATGTCTATTGAACGCAAATGTTGTTTTATTAATTCCTTGGTCTTCTAATAATTTTAAAAGGTCATCTTGAGCTCTATCACTAACTAAAAACTTTTCTAAGGACTTGATTCTTCCGCTGTCCACCCAGTAATCCAACATTCGGCCTTGATTTGATGCAAAGCCCATAATGTCCAACGGGTTATACAACTTTTTACCTCCATATGTAAACTCTCGGTACCAATACCTCATTTTCCCTGTTGAATTTTTATCTGTTGGAATATCAAAGTTGTGAAGAACATCATCAACTTCTGAATCTGTGAAGCCAAAATAATCAGAATATTCCTCATCATGGATTGATCTAACACACATACTACTGTTGGGAAACAAAACACTTCCTACCCAAGGTAGCGTCCCTGTAATTAATGTCCTTTTCATGTACCAATTCTCAGGCAACTCCTTAAACATATCTACAAGCAAAGATTTTACTTTGATTTTTTCCTCCTTCGGAAAGTTTTCTTCCGCATGGTTAAAAGGGGTGTCAAATTCCTCCACTAACACAATAATTTTCCGTCTATAATGCTCAAACAGAAGTCTGCTCAGAAAGTACAACCCATCGATCAAACTAGTTGTATCAAGTTGATTGTTTTCGTAATACCTCGCAAGGCGTTTTTTATCAGTAGCATTCAACATACGGCTTTCATTGGTGAAGTAAACTCTCAAGTATCTATGTCGTGCATACAGATTTTTCATTTCTTGTTTCAACTTATCTTCAATTTTTTTGTAATTTGCCCCAACAATACTTGACAAGTTAAACCTCAACACAGGAATCATACCTAGACGTTTCATTGTCTTCGAGTCATTAGCGATTTTTAATGGTTTCAACTCTTTAATTTCCGTTAGCACTTTTGTAGACTGTTTTGGAAGCGTAACTTCACCGCCTTGGAATAACTTATGATATTTCCGATCCATTATTTTTGTTTGTACACCAATATTGTTGGTTTCTACTTCAAAAAACCTTTGTATCATATCCATGTTGACGGTCTTCCCCCACTTGCGAGGTCTAGTTATGATTGTCGCTCTGCATTTGCTCTCAAGAAATTCTTTCATCATCATTGTTTTGTCTACAAATATCCCTTTTGTTACCAGTTCATCGAAGGTGTATACTCCTCTATGCACTTGAGCAGGCTGAGCAGCACCAGTAACCACAGTCTGAACACACAACAGGTAAACTAACAGTGAACACTTATAAAGAAGTAAACTAAATATTAACTTCATTTTAACAATAGTGATTAATAAACATTAATGATCTGTTTATCAGTCAAAAGATTGGCCATGAGATTAAATCCGTTGCATTGTCTTTTGCTACATTTTCAATCCATCTTTTGTAAAAAATTACTATCCATACAATGTTTTATTTATTTGTCAGAATATAATGGATTGGGCTTAAAATTAAAGTCTGATTGTGGACGGATGAGAAATTTAATTTTTTTTAGATGCATTTGAACTGCTTTCCTCCTTTAGTATAATGTCATATTGTCTTCAGAAAATGAAAAACCCCCATCTCGAGTCTCGCTTATAAAGCGTTCAAATAGGTGGGGAGAGATGGTAGTAGGGGTAACAGTGGCACAAAAGTTTCTGAACGAAAATTCTTAGTTTATTCTTCTAATGGTATATTGCTCTCCAGTATCATTACATTTTATAATTATGTAATTAAACCATAATCATCTAACAAAGAAATACTTTGTACATTTTTTTCATTCTCCTTACCCCGATTGGTTTGGGAGTTTCTTTACTTTTCGTTTTCCTTTGTCAACACCCTTCTTGAACACATTTTGATACTTAGAAAGGGTGAGTTGTGAATTTCATCCTTCAAATTAAAAATTTGAACAAAATATTTTTTGTAGCACAATAGACATAGAAAGGAGTTTTGTCAATATTCATTATTATAAAACTAATTACAATTAATTACAACTTTCAAAGAGTAATAATAATGCAAGTAAAATAGTTACATATTTCTGACAATTTTTAAAACTAAGCTTAAACTACATTAAAAAATACCAATTTGATCTGTATCAGGGCAGGATCATAAATTCATCCTTCTATCATTAATTATTAATTTTTGCATTTCTCTGACGAAGACGATGGAGATGAAGAAGAAATTTCAATGACCTCTTGCTCGGTCACATAGAGCTTCTCCTCTTCAGGCAAAAACCCTTCGGCTTGTAGTAACTCCCTTAGCAGTACTTTTGGTTTTTTTTTCTAAAACAAAAAGGTTTCAGACAATAACTGAATGAACAATCAATCATCATTCATTTTACCTGATATAAAAGTACAATAACACGTTCATATGTAACAAGCACTTTTTTGTTGAAAATAAAACATCCTAAATAAACCAATGCTCATCCATCGCAAATGTCAAGCCAAGCGGATTGGAGAAGCTGGATAAAAATCATTGTTAACAGCCTTCACCAGTACTCTGAAATAAATTAGCATTAGCAAGCAGTTGGTTGGACGGATGGTTTTCCTTTTACTTTAACGGATACACCCACCAGGTTTACCCCTCCCATCTATTCCTACCTTGCATCTTACATGCAGGACTTTGTACTTCATCATTCGGCTCTTAGCATTTGATGGACTCGGTCTAAACCTGCAAAACTCTCCCTCTCGTCACTAGTATGGCTACTCCCCTGAATAACGAGAAGTTGATCAAGGATTCTCTGAAGCCAAACCCCACTAGTGAGTTTAAGAATTTAATTATTAATATTTCGCTACACTAAGTTACTGTGAAACGACCTGTTTTAGTTACATGTTAATCACTTGCAAAAATTCATCATTGCTTACAATGGAAAAAGAATGTTTACTATGCAAAATTAATGTTTACTATCTTTTTTGGATTTTGCCGACGCAAATGAACAAAGATTTGTTATTGTTTTGTTAACTGTTTCAATTTGCAACAACCAAAACTGTACAATCTATGTAAATAATACCGTAACTTTAAACTGAAGGCATAAGCTAAACAATGAGTTTTGAAATATTCCTAACTGTAATTAAGAAATATCCAATGTCTGTTTAAATTCAGAAAATAATTATTTTTGTAGTGTAAAAAAGTAATGTTTAAAGCACGAGTGAAAGTATATCTTTACATATTCTCGTTCGAAGTGCAAGATTTATCGAGCACATATGGTCTCAAATATGTAATGACTCACCAAGTTATTCAATCAGCTGATTTATAAGGTGAATTAGATTAACCAAAACATTGATTTATAAATACTTTCCCCAAATCTTTTTCTGCAATCAGTTTTACTTTATCTATGACGACCAATTTACTTTGTCTCTGAACACTTTGTGTGGTCCAACAGTCGATGGGACGTCCGCAAAAATAAACATATTGGACAAAAATTCACCGTGAATCACACCGATATCAAACGATATTATCTGCCAGTACTACATTAGTACTGTCACGTTAGAGGCCCAATCCCTAAAGAACACTCGGGCGGTAGATGGGACACTTTGCTACTCCTTTCAGGAAGCTGAAAAAAAACTCCAACTGGTAGTTGCTTTTCATCCCGTTTTAGCCAGTTGTTTTTCAGAAACAAATCACAAAACACCTTTACAACATCAAAGAAGAACAGGCCAACGGAAGAACAGCTAACGGAAGTTAGTTAAGGAGCAGAAAGCCACTACAGATGAGGTAGGGCCTACTCCATTCAGTTTGAAATAAAATTCAAGCTTCATACTTTATTAGAGGTCCTGAAGGATCTGGAAAAACCTTTAGTAGCCTATGTAATCTTCAGTATGTTTGTTATACAGGGTGTTCAAAAAAGGTAGAGACATAATTTACGAAGTCTTGGGTCAAAATAAAGAATAAAACTATTTCCAAAATCGCTTGGTTAACCAAATATCACCATTTTGTATTTTTTACATATTTTTATCTTTGGATTGATCCAATCGATATTTATGAAAATTGGTATTTAGGCTATGTTATGGTAGAAGCGACCCATGTGAGAAAAAAAAAAATTATTGATCCAATTCAGAATGTCAAAATGGCAGCCATTTTACATTTTTAAATTAAATTACTCGATATGGTTGATTTGATGAAAAAATGTCAAGAACACTTTTATTTAGTAGCCTATAAAGTGCACTATCTAATGACACCTCGTTAGAAAGATTTAATAAAAAATAACTACAATATCACGATTTTTTTCATAAAATGAGGTTGAGCAAAGCTAACTTAGTCAGGTTTGCCTTGTTTTACAACTTCGATGGGAAGCCAGCGGACGAGGCATAGTCAAAGTGTCAAATGTCAGGCTTGATTTCTTAGCCTACTTGCAACATTGAGTGTGAGAGCAGTCAGTCTGAATTTTGACTTTTCAGACTGAAATCTCTCACAATTGTTTGCACAGGCAAACACTTAGCTTTATTTACAATTGGCATATGCCTGTTCACCAACCTGTTCTGAAGCAATCAAGACATAGAGGTACATTAAAGCTGCCTTCTTTGCTTCAATGTGTAGCAGAATACGCAGTGAACCCTTGTTGTGTATTCTTACAACAGTCGTTGCAATGAGTACTGATCAGGTCCATAGAATATTCTGCAACAAAATAGTATAGCCTAGTTTAGTTGTAATAACGGTAAAATTAGTCTGGTCAATGCTTAAGAAATATATGAGTATTTCTTATAAAAAAATATTGTAGGTTTTATGGAAACATAGATGAAAGTTAAAACCTATATTCTTACTCTTTGTTATAAAACGCTCACATTTTTATTTACTAAGATAAATAGAATGGTCCTAAGCACTGCATTATTGTAGGTCCTACAATATTGTTATTCAGGGCTTAATGGAGGATTGTGAACCTCATATTTTAAAGGGACGCTTACCTATGAAAAATGTTATGTATATGGTGGTCAATAAAAAACTAGAATGGTTTTCTAACAGCTGTTATACAGCTGGTTTTATGCATAGTACAGCTTTTATTGTTGCAATTAACAACAACTTTATGCCATTTCATTAATCATGGTTCGTTGGACCCATGCCTTTTGCTTTGGAGCCTATTATTAAAAAAAAAAACCCAGTACCTATATAATTGTTACCCATCGGCCAGCGGTTTTCTTAGAAATCATTTCAATTTATGTCGTTGTGGTGCGGTTCCCTGTAGGAGTACTATCTTATAGGTGAGTGTTTCAAGCCAGAGGATCTATTCTCAAGAATAAACCTCCTGGGAGATCAAAGTCTGTAATAGGGACACATCGCAAGAGTACAAGAATCAGTTGTTCCAAAGTCGAAAAAGATCTGCAAGAAAATATTGTACAGGAAATATACTTGTGACCAGCATGGAAGAGCCTGAGGAGCGGCAAGCACTGTGAAAAAATCCCATCACACTGGGCACAGGATCTCTTTCCACCGTAAGTGTTGTAGTAACTTACATGAGGCGGGCAGTGTTGGACTTTAACGTAGACACCAACGACTAGTGCTAGACAGCCACTTAAGAGTACCATTGAATTTCCTCTGTAAACGAATGGCTGCTACTAGTGTATAGGCTAACTTTAAAATATACCACACTCGCCACAACTAAAAATTGGTGATTCTTCACTTGACCAAATTAAAATTATTAACTTAGCAGGCCAAAACTCAACAGTAGCCTACTTAACTTGGCTTAACTTAATTATTAGCAAGTCAAACCTCACATAGATTTTTTTTTAAATAAACCAAAAAATTTCAGCACCTTGCTTCTGCTGAGGCCTACAAATCAAGCCGCGCAGGCTTCCTCAAAGTCCTTCCAGAACGTCTTAGTTGTGGCGGACTGCACTGCACAACGGGAGGCGGAAGTTCTGCCACAAGTGGTTCATCTGGAGGGGAACAACCCCCATATGAAAGAGAAACTGCCAATCTAGAATGTATAGCTAGCAGCAAAGATTAACCGATACATGGGAGTGTGTTTAATCAATGCTAGTTGAGTACCCTATGCTAATCTTAGCTGAGGCAGTATCGTTATAGAGAGCAGACGAAAAACTGAAAAATAGCCCGGAAACCATTGATGTTTTTGGTACAATGGTGGTTGACATCAATGTTATCATCACAGGTAACCTTACATCAAGGGATGGCCAACTTTTCGATGCTCATCGCTACAAGCAACACACCCAATGTTTGCACGGCATTGGCCTGAGATTTCCTTGAATTTTATGACTTTGGGATTTTAACTTACGAAACTATGGTAGCCAAGCTTACACAGGCCTTATGATTATGACCTGTAACTAACTTAATCAGTTAATTTAGGCTAGATTTCTACTAGGCCAAGTCTTCAACAAGAATCAATAATATTCATACTGTCCAACTTGAGTACTTTCATCACTTACCTAGACTTTCAGTAATTTAGTGAGTAAGTTTTTTAAAACCAGCACAAACAGAAACAAAACACAAACTTGACAGTTTGACACTTGACAGCTTCTTGAGCTGGCTTGTTGCTTAGCTTTACGTTACGACGACACAAGAAAGAATAAGAACACCAAAGGACAACAAAAAAAGCCCCCTTTGGCACTGACTTTAGCAGGCTAAATTGTATCAGCTATGTAACCGTCAGCTACTCTTCTATTATTAAATAAATATGTAATGTTATGTCTAACAAATATTCTTGTGATCACTTTTAACATAGTTAAAACATACTTCCTTAGTAGATTTCTCATCCTTATGGATCAGTTGAAGACAGTTTTATTGTTTGTTATGTTTGGTGCACTCTAGGTAGAGGTCATGTTTTGTTTACAAATTGTTTCTTGCTATTTCAGTAACAATTTAAAACCTCATTTACTAAAATAATAGAACAAAATTTCGTCAACACTAGCGATCAGTGTCACTGGACATGAACTAGACACGAAACCATCCACGAAACACGAGCTTTAAAATTTACAATAACAATGGGAATTTGTACAATGCTAATTGTGTTCTGTGTTGGTTAGTTAAAACTATTGTCTCCAGCTAAATTGCTACAAGAATCGATATAAATTGGTGTAAAATACCTGCATTAAATACTAAATACGTCGATCCAGTGCATTGCTCTATGGAAACCGGTTCCAACTGACATAGGAGCTATCCTCTGGCCAGTCAAAGATGTCTTATCGCTTCATGAAGGTCCTCAATTGATAATAAATAATAAATTTAATAAGACACGCACAGTCACTCCCTAAATACGAACATTTAGTTTAGTGTAACAAAAACGAATGATAGTGACAATTATTAACCATCATTGCGATGAGCGATTCTGGCTTTGGTTTCTATTATAAACTGCAACACAAATTAATTGTTGTATATCTACGGTATTTGTTAAGAGTTTAGTTTAGTGTTTGGAAGCCCTAATTAATGTACACACTTTTAACTCATACTTTCCCTGGATGAAATGGTAATATACCAATAAACAATTATGTATTGCTATCATGTACTTTTGTGAAAATCCAAAATGTATTCAGTATTCATTCTTTAAATTAAAAAATACAATAGGTGTGGGCAGTCAATTTTCCAAATCTCACAATTTTCGAGTCAGAATTCAGGTAAGTTAGTCTTTAGTTGTATAAAAGGTTTTTGTTCTTAGCCACTATTCACATCAAGAAGTACTTAGGTAATTGAATAGTTAAGCCCCATCTTGGTTTTCATACAAGTGTGATAGATAGAATCTCTACTCAAAAGTAACACACATCAGACGACTGAGCCTATCACATTGTAAATGTAAAATCCAACACGATCAACTAACAGTACTACAAAAACGCACCAATAAATTAAAATAATGTTTCCCGGCTCTATATAAAAACAAGAATCCATAAACTTTATCGACTTTGGGAGTGGCGAGAGAAGATATTTTTCACCAAGGAGCCGCAATAAAGAGCTGATCAGCGATCACAGCCGGACGTGAAACAAAGGATAATCCTCACTAGGATATTTACAAACTGTTCCATCAAAGAACAAAAGGGATCCGGGTTGAAAGGAGCGGTAGACTCGCAGCCCCGATATCAAAATGAAATGATTGTTGATGAACGTTGAGCCGATCTGTAAACCGCGCTGACCCCCTCCCCCTGCATAAGTACCCCTCTCTGATAACAGATTATGTAAGGGAGAAGCAGCTGTGCAGGAGAGGTGGAATTGTACAGGGTGGGACGAAGTTAGTGTTAAAAACAATGTGTTAAAACTACTAAAGGAAGCATTCTTGACAGGTGGCATCCATATACCCCCACAGTTAGGGAATAACAGACAAAATAAGTTGTTTTTTTTTTGAAAATATTTGTTAATGTTTGGAGAGAATTACCATAGCTGCATTAAAATTGTTTTTTATCTATTGGAAATTTAGAATTTGTTTCCAACAAATACCTAGAATCGTTGGGATTCCACAGTGAAGTATGAATTTGTAATTTTCTAGAACACATCTAATTAACGTATATCCTTTTTCCTACAGCCAACTGTCACCAAACAAAGTGGGCTTCCTTGCACTGATTACAGTAGGTACAGAAAGCCATACTTTTTGGCACACGCAGTTTTTACTTTGGCGCACATCAGTATTCCAACCAAACAACACAAAACACCGTGCTTTTATTATGCACGTAATCCGTGTAAGCTTGAAAATAAGTTGGCAACTACGATTACAATCAGCTGGTGCAGCGTTTCCCATTTCGTTCAATGTTTGGATTTTTACCTAAAAACGTGTTGTAAAGTGTTTGAAAGACTAATTATTTATATGATTTATAGTAACTGCAGGGAAAATATTATGTGTAACCACTAGTCAAAGGTGTAACTCGAGTGCAAACTGCCATTGACCACTAGTTACACAAATAACTACTGTATTTATGTCCAAGTGGACTGTTGAGACTGAGATTGTAAAATATAATCGAAAACTTATTCTATTAAAAATCATCAAAAAATATATAAAATCCTACAGTTTCTCTGATTTCCCTTGAAATTGAGTTTCTGTAGATAACACGAAACAGCTATAAAAATATATTTTTTGTATTTTATTTTAAATATGTTTTTAACAACCGGTACCGGTTCAAAAATAATTTTTTTTAAAACTATGTAATATTTGTTTATATCTCTAGTAAAAACCACTTTCGACCTATTTCTGAGTGTTGAGAAGAAGGTGACATGAGAGTGTGTCTATAGTGACAAGACAAGTGACCTGTCACCAACTAATCTGTCAATGTCTCGTTGGTTAACATGGTTGGTCTCGGTTGTAAGGGAAGAACACAGATCATTAATACTAAAAACTGTTTGAGAAACTCGTCAAGTAGCTTTCGACAGTTCATCATCCACTTTGAGTTTTGGTTCAAAATAAATCAACAGGGAAAGATAATAGATTCACTTTAGTATTATACTGACCACACCGATAAATCGACTTCCAAATAAGATTTTAATTAGTTTAAATAACAAAATCTTCCTAACCTAAAACATAGTCCACCCTTAGGTTGGGTTAGGTTAGCAACTATTAGCTGTGCTCGGTATATAATACCAACGTAACCAATTATCATATCCCAGTTATTTCAAAATCAAATTCTTTACACCCCATGAATTCACATAGCACCAACAACAGGTTCAAAAGCTACAAGACGAACTAATTTTAACCCGAAGCATCTAAGATACGTATAAAAGTCAACAGTGGCCTAGGTTTGTTTGCTTGTCGCTCGTAAGGCTTCAATATTTTCAAAGGATTCTGAGGGCGTTATGGAGATGTCGTTATTGTTTTGTAGTGCTTCTTCTTCTGCTTACACGCGGCGACACCTTGGTGTGTACATTTACATGCAATCTATGTTTGTGTCTATTTATATCCAATCATTTATGCGTTTAATGATCCTTCTTTTTGTACTTGAAAATGGGCAAGGTTAAGAATCAAATGGTTGGACAAACCTTGCCATTAAAATAGTGTTATTTTTAATATTTTATTTAATAATCACTTCTAATATATTTTTTTCCTCTTTGGGAGGAAAGAGCTATCATCAGACTAGACCTAATCTTGCGTATATTTTACACCTTAGAAGGTTGGGGAATGGAGGGTACTTACCCTTTTAACCACTATCACAGTTACATGAATATTTTATATTGCTCAAATATCTAGAGCTAAGATCAACTTAACTATTCTCTGTATACACTAACTTGGCGTCTGAACCCTTGACTACCTGCGGACGGACCGGGGCCGTCCCTTGCTCGTCCACTGTTGAGCAGCTGTTTCTATAATTAGTCACCTAGTAGCACCTCCACTGCAATTATGAACTTTTTTGTGCGGGACGGAATTTTAATTTTTTTCCTGCACAATCAAAAAGTTCATGAAATTTTAAGAAAAGCGGTACTAAACTTGACCATATTCCGTTAAGTTAACCTTAAGTTTAAATTATTTTAAATTATTCATATTATGAATACCGTTGATATTGTTATATCTTTAAACCAACCCCCATGTCTTCCGGGAAATGAGTGATTCACGTCCTAAGACCTCTGACGAGCCACGACGATTCTGACGTGGGATATCACCATTAGATTAATCGCGTATTGGGTATTGAAATGCTATTGATGAAATATGTATAATCTGCCGAAAAACTACGGTAGGCCCATCGTAGGCCTACACTTTATACAGACATTTAATTAGCTTAAAAACATTTACTCAACACATGCACTTGATTCTGTAATTTTTAATCGACAATTGACATATCCTTAGAAACATAATGATTGAATGATTAATTTTAAGTTTCATTTGACCCGTAGAAAATGACGCAATTTTGACACTTCAAGCCAAATGCTACTTTCGCTCGCATTTACGATTATTTTTTTTACCATTTAACACATAACATTACGTATACTAACTTACGGAGGGAAACGTACGGTTTAAAAGTGTTTCACGTTTACAATAATCTTAAATGTGATTGGTTAGATCTACTCAATGAAACATATGAATTAGGTTGTGACAAACTACATAACCTCAACACGTTTTACATGTTTTTACTTGTTAAACTTTATTCCCCTAACAATATTAGGAAATTTAAATATATAAATTACTATTCCTTTTTTGTGTTTGCAGATTCGCGGTGCACGTCTGATTCAATTAATAATAATTCATACATAACGATATTGTTTTATTTCTGCAGTTTTATTTCTATCCCTAATAAATTTTCTATTCCTCAGTAGCTACTGTACATATAGAGCCTGTAGCACAGACAATATAATACTTTAATGTTTATTCCATTGTCTGTGCCTGTAGGTTCAACAAACATAATAAGAATATGGTCAAGTTTGGTATCATTTTACTTATTTATTCATGGACTTTTTGCTCGTACAGATAAAAATGTAAAATTCCGCCCCGCAAAAAAAAGTAATAAGTGCAGTGGGGGTGCGACTAGGTGACTAATTAAGAAAACAGCTGCTCAAGAAGTGAGCGAGCAAGGGACGGTCCCGGCCCGGTCGCAGGTAGTCAAGGGTCCAGACGCCA